CTGACGGTGATCAGAATGAGCCCAAGGTAACAGATCCCACAGGAGGTCCCCTCCGGTGGGTAGACACCACCTCCTCTCCCGCTCCGACAGCGCCCTCCACAACTCCGTCCCCGCAGCCTGCCCCCTCAGGAGCCTCATTGCAGCTGAGGTCACAGATGAGAGAGGGGACTGTCCAGCCCTGGTCTCAGAGCAGGGAGGCACTGAGAGGCCTGGGAGGGTCTGCAGCAGGAGGAGACCCACCACACAGAGGGTGCAGACGCAGATGAGGCTTGGACTCGGGCCACCAGCTACCAGCCACCACAGGCTCTTTCTGACTGTGACTCCTTTGATCCCCTGGAGCAAAACCTAGGAAAGGAAGTTCCCATTCTCTGTTCTCTTTTCTTCCCAAACCAAACTTTCCTCCTAGGAAGCTGCCTGCGCAGGCATGTGCTGCCCCCAGCCTGCCTCTGCAGCCGCTCTGTGTGCAGCAAGCCTCTTGGGCATTCCTTCCATTCTGGAAAGACGACGGAAACAAGTGGACACGATCAGCAGATGTTGAGGCACCAGCACTACAGAAATAAATACTGGCAGGAAACGGAGAGAGCTGGAGAGGCCATCCGTCATCGGCCCGGAAGTCGTCCCAGGCTGGAGCCCTGGAGGGGGTTGGGGGGTCTGTTCTTGCAGGGCCTTGGCCCAAGAGCCAAGGGTCCAGGGTAGCACTTGGCAAGTCCTGGGCCCCGATTGGGGTCCTGAGTCCACTTGTGGTTTGTAGTCATCGGAGCCAAGTTCCTCTTCACCTTGTTGGTCTTAACTAGACAAGGAACCCTGTCTCAGAGGCTGGGCAGCCCAGGCGGGGATCCCGTGGCCCTCAGCAGCAATGTCCTGATGGGCAAACTGCTATGTTGAACTGGGCGCCAGGGAGCCCGGCAGGAATTGGGGCGCAGAGGAGGCAAACTCCACTCCTTGCCAGCCGTGCTGCTCACTTCAGAAGTATAAGATTTGGTTTTCATTTTTAGAATCAGTCTGATTTTCTTTTGGAGATTACTAGGGATCCCTTTTCTCCTCTCTCCTTTGAGTTGCAGGGGTGTGTGTGTGTGCGCGCATGCGGTGCTGGTGAGTGAATCCGGGGCCACTCACATGGTGGGCTAGTGGTCTGCCTCCATCACTGAGCTACAATTCCTGACCCCTGAACTAAAGCTTCTCCACATGGCAAAGAGGAAGCACATTGTAGTCCCTCTGCCTTTAACCTTCAGATCTGGGCACAGAGACTCTGACATTCAATGGTCCTTTCTGAGATCAGGGAAGTGGACTGGTGTGGAAGCCACATCAGTAAGCCTAGGAGAGGCCCATTCTCAGATGAGAACCAGGCATCCAAATGTGGCCCAAAGAATCAAAAGAGCAATTTCACAAAGCACATGGTATTTCCTAGTCCAAATCATTTTGCACGTTTAAGAAGTCCATATGCACTTCTCTGCCCATTTAGCACTCTTGAAAGGCTATAAGAAAAGCACATTAGGACAGAGAAGCTGTAGAGTCAATACAGTATACAGGCTTTACTCTGCTTCCCTGGAGTTGTACCTGCAGGTCTCTTAAAATTTCTGTTCAAGCCAAGGATTGTAAGAATTTATGGAAAATTGTTAAACTTCATGTCTACAAAACATGGAACAATCTTCTTACAAACTGTCTAAAACAGCCCCCTGCTGACAGTATCTGCAAACAAGCCGAAAGGACCTCTCTTGTTTATTTTATCTTTGGTTTCTTAATGGTAAAGAGTTGTCTCAGAAAGTAACTTAGTCAACAACAATGACAAAATTGAAAAATGCAAAAAGATACGCAGATGGTCAATAAGCACACAGAAAGGTGATCCATGTCACAAGTCCTTAGGAAAATGTAAATTTAGAAAAACACAGTGGATGCCAAGTCCCCCATCAGGATGGCTTATGAGAAAAGATGAAAATAACAAGTGTTGGTGGGGATGTGGGAGAGCTGGGACCCTGTACTTGGTTGGTAGAAATGGTGCATCCACTACAGCAAACAGCAGGATGTTCCTCAAAAATTACTCATACATTGACCACATGATTCAGCTTTCTACTTCTGGAATTATACCCCAGAAGACTGAAGCAGATACTCAAGTAGGTATTCCTACACCCTGGTCACAGCAGAAACAGTGCAAGCGCCTGTCCACAGACAGCTGGATAGATAGGAGGAGCTATGTGTGCATACAATGGAGTGCGATTCAGCCTTAAAGGAAGCCCTGGCATCTGCTGCAGGTGCATGGACCCTAAAGACCGTGCTGATGAAATACACCAACCCCTGAAGACAGGCTCTGTAGATTGCACCCCGTGAGGTCCTTAGTGTGGTCAGATTTGGGCAGACAGCTAGCCGGGTGGGTGGGGCTCCCTGGTGCTGATGTCAGCGGGGCAGGGGGACATTCCTCGGGGAGCACTTGATCTGCAACACTATCCCAGGCATCGCCTGCAAGAACTGAGGTTGCTTGCTTCCCGTCCAAGCAGCTTTCTGAGCTTTTCCTGAGTGGACACTGGTGTTTGAGGAAAACCAAGCTTTCCTGGGATTGATGCTCACGTGGGTACTGAGTTGGGCCAGCTGATGTTTTGGAGCCCCCAGACTCAGGTCGCAGGCCCAGGCGGGGCCAGGCCAGGGCACAAAGGCAGGCAGAGGGTGGAGGGTATGAGCAGGACCTGCAGAAGGGCGGCATTCGGCTCCCCTCGGGTGACTCGGGACCTGTGGCTCCACGCCTGTCACCTGCCAGAGCACAGGCTCTGGGCGCTTCTCTGCCCTTGCAGGCCACGCTGGCCACGGCACTTGGCCAGGACTGGGTGCTGCTCAGCCTTGGTGCCAGCACAAGAGCCCCTGTCTGTGAAGTCCCGGTGATTTGTCTCCTCAGACTGTGCGGGCTGGAAGCTGGGTGCCAGGGAGGCTTTGGTGGAGACGGTGGGTCCCTTGCTGGGCCTGGCACAGGCATCGAGTTGCCTGACCAGTTGGACCATGAGGTTTCAAGAGTCTGGGACCTCCGCCGCACACATTGTGGCCTAGCGGCTGAGTCCAGGCTCCTCGCTGTCCTCAGTTCCTGACTTGGTGGCCTGATGTGTGTCTCTTGGGTGGGGCACACCCGAAGGGGCCCTTTCTGGGGCCTGCAGACCTGGTGGGCACCCAGCCACCTGCCCCCATTCCTGTCTGGTGGCTTCACACAGTCCCTGTGATGATGGAGGCCACGTGAAGGAGGAAGAGGAAACAAGAGAAGTGGACAGGTTGCCCCAGGCTGGCAGCTGTGAGTCTGGAGCTGAGCTGTGGCCCTCAGGACCTGCTGGGCCAAGGACCCGTGATCTCCCTCGCCGGCCCTCACCATAGCTGACTGATGCCCACTCCCTGCCGACCACAGGCTCAGGCCCCGTGGGAAGCCTCAGGCCCGCGTGGACTTGGCCTCTGCTGCCCACAGCATCCATCTGAGATCGTCCTCTATGAGCCATGAGCCCCATGGGTGAAAGAACTTTTCCTTCTCAGAAATCACAGCTCCAAGCTCCTCACCTTGTGCCACACCCACTTGTGCCTGGTGTTGAGACTTCCGGCTCCAGGTAACACATGCCCGCCGGGGTGACGGCCGCCAGCCTGCGCCCAGGGCTGAGGCCACGCCGGGCTGGCCAAGCAGGTTCGTGCTGGCTGTGTGGTCCCAGTGGGTAGTGTACTGTGAGCCCCTGTGCTGGCACCAGCCATGGGAGCAGACAAGAGACACTCCCTGCTCGGGATGAGGCAGGGGCCGGGACTGGAGTCCAGCAGTGCAGGGTGGGCCCCGCATTCGGGACCCGGCTCTCCCGACAACCACACTTGGGCTTTCTGCACAGCTGGAGGAGGCAGGAGTCTTGAGAAGAGCCCTGAGGCTGTGCTGTGCACCCACCTCCCCATCCCATCCTGGCCCGGGTCCCTGCCATTGCTGCACAGCCCTCACCCGTAGCCGTAGGAGGCTGCCCTTTCTTTTTCTCTAACATGCCTTATGATTTTTTAATTAGAAATTGCAGTTGCAGGAAAGCAGCATGAAGTTTGCCGTCCTGCCCACGTTCGGGGTGCAGTTCAGTGCTGTCTATCAGTTACATTCCCATTGTGCAGCCTCCAGAACCCATCGTCTCGCAGACGGGAGCTCCGCCCTGAGAGCACCAGCTCCCCCAGCGCTGCTCACCCCAGCCCCTGGGAGCCACTGCGCCACTTCCTGTCTGAATTTCACTGCCTGCCGGTGGGATCAGACAGTGCGCATCCTGCAATGGCTTGGCTCACCTAGTGCTCCGTCCCCAGGGTGCATTCACCTGGGCCGAAGCCTGGGCCAAGGACCTCTTTGCTCTTGGGCCACACTGTGGTACTTCCCCAGCTGCTTGTGGACAGGACTCAGGACACTTCCTTCTGGCTGCCAGGACCAGCGTGCTCATGTGCTCATGTGCCTGTCTGCATCCCTGCTTTCTGCTTTTGGATGCACACCTGGATCACATGGCAGTTCTGTGCTGAGCTCTTTGAGGGGTCAGCAAACCATACATATAGTGGCTGTGTCCTGTTCCTTACCCCAGCAGGACACAGGGTTCCAATCTCTCCACACCCTCGCCAATACCTACCCCAGTCACCCGACAGTCGCTGTCCTCCGGGGTGCCAGGAGTTGCCACCCTTTCTTTCTAAAATCAAACATCCAGCACATGGGTTCTGAAACCCAATAGGATTCTAGAGTGCAGCACAGCTGAGATGTTCTGGCCGGCTCTGCTGTCTCGTGAATACCTGTGTACACAGTGTGTGTGTGTGTGTGTGTGTGTGTGTGCGCACGCGCGTGTGCGCGCCCCACACACACAGTCCTCTCTGCACAGACCTGGCTCCAGCTATACCTTGTCAGTCCAGGTCACAAATGCTGGTGAACTGGCCGCTGCCGCTTCCTGACCCTCTTGAGCCCCTTGGGGGCAGGTGGGGGAGCCCTGTGCACTATCTTGCAAAGACCGGGGTCCCTGAGGGTGTCTCTCTCCCGGCTGCAGAACCACGACCACGCCTGCATCGCCTGTCGGATCATCTACCGCTCGGATGAGCACCACCCCCCGCTGCTGCCCCCGAAGGCGGACCTGACTGTGGGCCTGCACGGGGAGTGGGTGAGCCAGCGCTGCGAGGTGCGCCCCGAAGTCCTCTTCCTCACGCGCCACTTCATCTTCCACAACAACAACAACACCTGGGAGGGCCACTACTACCACTACTCGGACCCTGTGTGCAAGCACCCGACCTTCACCATCTACGCCCGGGGCCGCTACAGCCGCGGGCTGCTGTCCTCCAGGGTCGTGGGCGGCACGGAGTTCGTGTTCAAAGGTAGGCCATGGCCCCAGGGACCGTGCAGGTGCAGTTTGGGAGCAGCCCGCAGCACAGGGAGAGGACTTCTCTTCTGCCCCCTGCTGGGGCGAGAGTGGGAGTGAGTGCGGCTGCTCTGCTCCTCGGAAACCCCAGGAGCCCATTCCTCGGTGGGACCTGCGATCTCCACCTGCAGCCTCGGGTACTGGGGGCCCCCGACATGCAGGCAGCTGGACACTCAGCCTGGGGCGTCCCAAGTACCTCTGGTAGTGGCAGCTGCAGCAGCTCACACACCGGGTGCCTCCTAGTGGGGAGAAGGAGTGGGTGTTTGCATCCTCTTTTCTTTGTGGAGCTTGCCCTGCCCTTGAGCAGTTGTCACAGGCTGGCAGTGAGAGCAGTGAGCGGTGGCCAGAGCTTCCAGCTGTGTCCTGTCCTCAGAGAGGAGGGCTGTGGCTGCTGGATTTGTTTTGCTTGTAAGCTTGAGCATCTTCACGAACTAGTGTCAGCCCTGTCACACCGAGCAGAGGGACAGCCAAGTGCTGGGTGTGGTGGCCAGGTGACACCTCAGTCCGGTCAGCAGGACGTCTCAGTCAGTATAGGCAAAGCCCGAGGGCTCCGAGCCCTCCTGCTGGGGAGGTGGCTTTGGTCCTGGGATGACCGTGCCCAACTGAGGGCCGTCTCTGGCGAGTTCACCCAGGCCCAGGGTGTGATGTACACAGTGCTAAGGTGCTGGCCTCTCAGTGTGAACAGTGTGAGCGAACCAACAGGAGGTGTTAATAAGCCGCCTCTACACGGGCTCACTCATACTTTTTTGCTTGCAGCATATTTTAGATGCCCGAGTTATGTGCCAGCATTGATTTCTGAGAACACTAACTAGCTGGGATATTTGCCAGCAAAACTTAGACACCTCGAAACCTTTTCATAAGATAACATTCCAGTTTGTCGCATGACCTTGCATCCTAAAGAGTCATGGTCATCAGATGCACTTGCGAGGAGTGCTGTGCTGCTGTTTAATTTCACCCCTGTGGGGGGCGGTCCCCACACATACTCTGTTTTCTGGCCTCACTCACAGCATACAGTGCCCTTCGTGTCTGCGGGGAATGTGCTCCCTTCCCAGGGAGGTCACCGAACGGCAGTGTTTGTCTTCGCCATCACATACGTCCTCCAGTGTGTGTACTGTGTGCTGTGAATCATCTCTAGGTGACTGTACCTACTAATGCAGCATCACCCCATTAAACAGCTACACTGTCATTCAGGGAATAAACCCGCAGTGCGCGGGCTCGGAGCAGAGCAGCCTGCTTCCCAGCCTTGCTCATCTGTGGGTGGCTGCATCTCCTGATTTGGGAGCCGCAGATGTGGATGCATGGCTGACAGTGGCGGGGGGGGCTGCCACTCCCAGAGACAGGCAGAGTCCCCACCCGAAAATCCTGTGGCAGCCGGCTCTGAAGGCCGCCTTGCTGCGATGGAGCTTTGCTGGTGCGTCCCCGGCTTTCCCTCGGCATCACGGACTCTCCTCTCTCCTCTGCAGTGAATCACATGAAGGTGACCCCCATGGACTCGGCCACAGCCTCGCTTCTCAATGTCTTCAATGGTGACGAGTGTGGGGCTGAGGGCTCCTGGCAGGTGGGCGTGCAGCAGGACGTCACACACACCAATGGCTGCATGGCGCTGGGCATCAAGCTGCCTCACACGGAGTATGAGATCTTCAAGATGGAGCAGGATGCCCGCGGGCGCTACCTGCTCTTCAATGGCCAGCGGCCCAGTGACGGGTCCAGCCCGGACCGGCCAGAGAAGAGGGCCACGTCCTACCAGATGCCCCTGGTGCAGTGCGCCTCCTCCTCTCCCAGAGCGGAGGACCTGTCTGCGGACGGTGGGGGCGAACAGCGCAGCCCGGCGCCCGGAAGGAGAGCGCAGCCCGTGCTGCTGGCCGCCCTTGCCGGCCTCCAGACTCTGCTGCACTGGGGCGGGCCCAGCTAGCTCGTAGGAAGTTCTGGTTTTTTGAACTAGGGTTCCTTACCACGTGCACATTTTCTTTATGGGAAGAAAGACACTGATTCTCTTGATGCACTTGAATGCCTGAGAGCTGTCGCTCCCTTCCCCTCTCCCTCCCTGCCCGCCCTGAGTCAGAGCAGCCCCGTTTGAAGTTTCTGCTTTGAACTCCGTCCAGCCGGCTCTCTGGCCTCAGCGAGTTCGCAGCAGTAATTGCACTTTAACTCCGCAGTTTCGGCTGGTGTGTTTGGTGGAGGCAGTGGGGTGGGCGCTGGGTCCTCTTAATGATTAGATTTCTGAGAGTTGAGCTTAGAAGAGCCTCCAGCCAAGCCCCGACCTTTCCTGCCTTGACTGCGCTGCCTCCACCCTCCTTGGAGTCTTGGTCTCCAAGGTTCACAGGCTGGAACCTGGCGCACAGTTGGTTTGGGGCTGCCATCTAGACACCTCTGCTGATAGAGGAGATGTGGGTGTAGATGTGTACGTAGAGGGTGCAGGGTTTAACCGGGATATCTTTACAGAAACAAGAGAATCACAACTTTCAGAAGTGTGGAAAAGTTTCTGTAATTAAAGTTCCAAAGTAATTTAAACTGTTTTTACATCACTGATTTGCAATGTTGAGACGAGGTGTTTGTTATTTGCTGGTTTGACTGAGGACAGGATGCAAGCAGCTGCATTTCCCCTCTTGGGAGACCAGGGTAGGTGGGGAAACAGTGAAGCACCCTGTTGCTGGGTGGCGAGCAGCAGCCATGCTTGGGGCAGTGGAGGTGTCAGAGCCACAGGAGTAGACAAGAGGCGCCCACTTGTTGCACGCTTTCCTCTGTGGGGCCGAGTCCAGGCTCCCTCTGACTGTCAGGGTGGGGGCAGAGCTATCCCAGCTCCTGCCTCTGACAGCTCCTCCCTGAGATCTGCCTGGCCGTGCCGGAGGCTTTATTAAATCATCACATCCTTGGTGTGCAGCTTGACTCAGTTTCCTTCCTGCCTTCAGCCTGGCTGCATCCTGACCTTGAGCCTCAGGCCCGCTGTTTGGTGCTACCTGATCGCCAAGTGCCATTGCTGGTAGAGACCAGGACAGGGAAGCAGGGGTGCCGAGAGCCAAGATGTCACAAGGTAGATATGGGCCAGCAGAACCATCCTCACATGGGGTAGCTGAGTGCTGAAGCCATGGGCGGGGCTCCGGAAGGACCATGGCAGAATCCAAAGTGCTTATGTTCAGAGTCCATTCTGCCTGTGGTGCATACCTGAGGGGTTTATACCAAATGGAAATGCTAACTTAACTTCTGCCAAGTTTAATAAACAGGTCAAAAATAATTTCATAAAATACATTTTATATGTGAATCTATTTAATACTGATACTCGCTTTAGGGGAGGTAATAAAATCATGTGAAAAACTGAATTCACCACGAAAGAATTCCTCAGTGATTCATCATAAGAGTAATAGATTTGTAAAGCTCACTGATACCCACCTAGGCTTAACCATAAAGTATGCTGTATACATGAGCACATACATCCAAATACATAGATATGAACCTGCACACAGGTATTGTGTGTGTGTGTGTGTGTGTGTGTGTGTTTGTGTCTCAGGGACGACTGCAAACATCAGCCCACCACCTCTGACACAGCAAATCATTACAGCCAAGGGCCAACATAATCTGTTCCCTGATCACTGATACAGGCTTGTACGTGGTGCTGAGACGCCCATCTGTGCTCCATCAGCTCTCGCTTATGTTGAATTAGCATTGGCAAAGGTCTCTAAAATTAGGTCCCCAGGCATCCATGGCAGTGGTCATAGTGACTTCCCACCGCCTTGGGGAAACAGCCATCCCTCTCTGGGTCGCTGGGGCTTGAGAGCCAGAGATGTTAGCACAGGACCCAGATGCTGTCTGGGAAAGGTGGGGCTGGCTCGGAATGCTCTAGAATGAGCTCACTCGTGCTGTGACACGGCAGGCTGCCAGGGCGGAGCTCTCGCCCAGGTTGGAGGCAGGTGATGGTGCTCGCAGATGCCAGGACTGGAAGAGGCAGGAAGTGTAGGACACTCTCGCAGACCTCACTGCCCTGCTGCAACTGGGTGTCTGAGTCCATCGCTGTAACATTGATCTTCGGAGATTTACAAAGAGGAGAGGTTTATCTGGCTTACGGTTCTGGAGACAGAGAAATCCAAGGTCAGGAGCCTGTGACTGGGCAGGGCCCAGTGCTGCTTCCAGCTGTGGCAGAAAGGAGGAGGATGAGCTGACAAGTGCCCAAGAGGCAAGGGTCCGGGCTGACGTGCTCTGTAACAACCTGACCTCGCGGTAACGTCCAGTTGCGTGAGGGTTAGCACTCACTCCGAGGAGAAAGCTGTTAATCCATCCCCCAAGGCTCCGAGCCAGGCCCCGCCTTCTGGGCCTGCTGCACAGAGGAGTCAGCATCTAACACATGAACTGGAGACACGGTGGCCTCAGCACCAGGGGAAGTGCTGGGTGAGAAAGCTGCTCTTTGTGACAGTAAAATGTGGATGTAATCAAGACTTAGGCTACCATTCAGGCTGAGCCTGGCCTCAGAAAGGGAATTCCTGGCCCGAAGTGCTTTCAGAATGGACTCCTGCACACACAAGCACATGTGACACTTTGATTTCAGGTGATGAGTATTTGAACGCCTGAAGTCAGACGAGCCCTTCAGTGCCGACCGTGATGGTGCATAGAAGAAGCGTGCTGTGAGACACGGGGCAGGAGCCTCTGGGTGGAAGCCTGTGCACTCGGTGTCCCCATCTCTTAGAGCACAGCTATACCCCGGCGCACTGCTCTGTACGGTTCTGGCTCATCACATCCCCAGCCACAGCTTCATCCGCATACACGCATAGACAGACCTGTTGCTCCTGCACTCACTGCGCCTCTCCACTGCTTCTCCCGATGTTGGCACAGAGTCAGACGTTCAGCCACTGCTTCCGACTTCGAGGCCTTGGTATGAGGCGGGCCAGTCTGCTCTCTTCAGACGTGCAGGTCTGTCTGCAGTTTGAAGGTGCAGCGCTGTGTGGTGAGGCCGGCTCCTCAGGACAGGCTCCAGAGAGCCAGGAGGAGCTTCCGCAGCTCAGAATGCGGGTTATCTTCCACCGCTTCATCCTGCTGTCCTCACTCCCCCCTCGCTCCCCACGACCACAGCCTTGCCTGCCACTAAGGGGTACAGCAGGTGACCCCAGGCAGCAGGAGCCGATGGCAGCCAGAGTCACAGCTCCGCTCAGACACCCTTGCCCGCAGCTGCCCCTCTGGGTCACAGGAACCACTTCCTCCTGACCCTTCAGGTGAAGGTTCAAAGGCTTCTGCCTCCAGCCCTAGCGCGCTTCACCAGCCCTGGGCAGTTTTCCTAAACTTTGGTGGTGCCTACTTTTGAGGTTATCTTTGTACAGTCCCCTTTTGGATGATAGTCTTTTGAGTTATTTTCTGTCATATCTGATTTTATGAGAGGGACCAAGTAAACATGAGCTTGAATCATCGTTTCAGATGAGGCCTTCACATTTCCTGCACAGTGGGTTGTGCCTGGTGCCAGCCTGTCTGGGAGGCAGCTCTTTGGCAGGCGGGCAGTCTTCGGTGCACATCCCCTGACATGGCCCTTCATGCACCCACAGGTGGTGTGAGCACACAGCAGGCTGCCCCTGGCCAGTGTGGGTGTGGGAGAAGGGACCGAACACAGGCAGACTGCTCAGGTCTGTACGGCCGGGATGGGAGCACTTTTCACCCTCACAAGCGTCGCCTTCCATGTCGGGGAGGCTGGCAACTGATCACTGAATTCAGACTGGATTGCATACTTTTACCCCAGGCTATTTTCTATGCTCCGTGTTCTCTGCCTTCTCACAGATGACTTAGAGAACAGATATGCTTATTTTCAATATGAAAACTCTCCACCACCAAGATACCCCATGTGTTAAAAGATGAGGACTATGACTTCTTTGTTGCGTGTGAGATCTACCCTTTGAGTCACTTTTGGATTGCGGGGTACTGAGCTGTCAGCCACGGGCAGGGTGTGGTACAGAGTGACTCTAAAACTTACCTACCTGGCACAACCGAAACTTTATACCCACTGAGGAGCAGCTTCCCTTGTCCCTCTCCCCATGCCCAGGCAAAATGTATGAAAGCCTTAACTACAACCTGGACCTGTAAAAGTCATAGAAAAAAACATAGGGAAAAGTCTTGTGAACTTGGTATTAGTTCGGATTTCACAGAGATCGCTCCAAAAGCGCAGGCAGCAAAAGCAAAAATAAGTAAATGGATGACATCCAACTAAAAATTGCACACAGCAAAGGAAACAACAGTGTGAAAAGAAAACCATGGGCTGGGAGAAAGGATCTGCAGACCATAAACCTGATAAGGTGCTAACATCCAAAGCACATAAGCAACTCCCGCAACCTAACAGCAAAAGCCCAGCTAACTGCTTTAAAACATGAACAACAGACTTCAGCAGACATTCCCCTCCCCCAATATTTTACATCTCATATTGTCACTTCTTGGCAATTTCTTTTTTTTTTTTTATTAACTGCGGAAACCACTTAATGATGTCACAGATGGATTCCATAAACATGGAAGTTTAGACTTCATGAAAGATTTGGTCAAAGACAAGAAATTGCTCTGATTTCCAAATACAAATAATTTCAATAGCCTAGAAAACAAAGTCCCTGAGACAATAAAGTGCATTCTTCTAAAGAGCCCCCTTTGAGTATGTTCCAGCATGCTGCTGTGTTCATAGCAAATTCTAGCCAATCTCTGTATTTCCTTATTAGCTCGAAACTAAATGGCAGGAAACACCCGGGGGCACCAGTAACACTTCAGAATCCCGTGCCAACTTGAAACAGGGGAGACAGTGCTGCGGAGCTGCTTGCTAAATACTTTGAAAAATTCCATTGACATGAGAGCTAACAAACTTGAAAGGCAAGTACTTTTTTTTTGCATCAATAAATAAAACATCAAAGTGATTATTGAGCCAAAGATCCAAAGAAGTGGTGTGCCTTTTTGAGTGTAATAAAGCACTGGATATGAATTCAAATGATCAGCCTGGCCTAAAGAACACAAAGCTTTCTCTTCCTGAGCAGCCTTTCTCTTAGGGAGTCGGGCGGGCTCCTACACTGTGGTCCTGAGCCCAGCCTCTCACTGGGTCTCTGATTTGGATCAGTTTCACAGACCTCGGAGTTAACTGGTAATTTTCAGTTATTGTCTCGGTTTCAGTTCACTCAGAAAACACCAGGATGGTACAGAAAATGATAGCAATAAAAATCATTAGAAAGTGCATAGGAAATCTGGAAGCTTAAGACACAACACAAATCTAGGAAGGAAGGAAGATGAAGCCTCTTACTTTAGCTGCCCTGGCAATGATTCGTCAAAGGCCAAAGAGGACAGATCTGGCTCCGGAAATGGGTTTCCCTTTTGCTGACCGCTTTGAGCACCTTGGGCAGTGATGCTGTCCATAGATGCCTCGGCCTCTTCTTTGCTCTGTGCATCTGGCTTCCCTAGACGTTCGGTGGGAAGCTTGGGTTTCAGAGCTGAGCAGATCCAAGGGAAAACAGGAGGAGAGCAGCCTGTGCTGAGCCGCTTCTAGACCCACAGCTCCATCCCTGCCACTCTCCCAGCTGGTCCCTCCCAGTGGTCCACGGGCCGCACTCTGGCTGCATCTAGAACTGGCTAGAAGTGCACAATCCAGCACCGCAGCCACACCTGCATTACGGCAGGACCGTGGGGGCTCCTGAGCAGACATGGGTCTAAGAGGCATGCATTATTTCCTGGGGCCCTGGGACCCCGGGCTCTGCTGCCACCAGCTGAGATGTCATAGTCACTTGTCTTCATTGCCAAACTTATTTATGCCTGCTGTTCTTTTGGTTGAAACATACTTTTATTTTAAAGTTGATTTTTTAATGAGAAAAAAATTAATACATAAAATAATTGCTAAAATTTTTTACAAGGGGAGGGGGGTTGTTGTGTCCATGAAACTTAAGGTG